CAATGGCACCATCTCAGCTCACTGCAACCTCCGCCTCCCGGGTTCAAGCAATTCTCCTACTAGCCTCTCGAATAGCTGGGATTACAGGCATGTGCAACCACACCTAGCTAATTTTTGTATTATTAGTGGAGACAGGGTTTCACCATATTGGCCTGGCTGGTCTCGAACTCCTGATCTCAGGCTATTCACCTGCCTTGGCTTCCCAAAGTGCTGGGATTATAGGCATGAGCCACCACCCCTAGCCAAGAACATGTTTTAATAGCCCTGTATCTCTCAATAAGTGCTACAGAGAGACAAAGGAGAATAAGGGTGAGAAGAAATATTTGAAGGGAGGTTGCCTAAGAATTTTCCAGATTTGAGAAAAGCTGACGGGCTTTGAGTTGAAAAAGCATACAGAATAAGTAAAAACAAACACACATTTCACATGAATGTGAAACCACAAAACATCAAGGAAAAAGATTATAGTTTTAGGCTGGGCACGGTGGCTCACACCTGTAATCTTTGCACTTTGGAAGGCCAAGCCTGGTGGATCACCTGAGGTCAGGAGTTCGAGACCAGCCTCACCAACATGATGAAACCCCATCTCTACTAAAAATATAAAAAATTAGCCAGGCATGGTGGCAGGTGCCTGTAATCCCTCCAGAGGCTGAGGCAGGAGAATCACAATGGGGGTCCCCACGTTTATCTCCACAATGTGAAAAGAAGTATTAAAAGATGAAGAGATAAGAACTAACATTTGTGGAATGTATGCTTTGTGCATTGTATGGGCTGCTTTGCATATATTTTCTCAATTTTCCCAACAAGGGCACAAATATCATTAGCTGCACTTTAGATGTGGAAAGGGAGCAAAAGCAACTTAACGTGTGAGTTGTTTCTCTTATGGAAAAAGATTGAGGGATAGATGCCCCAGGATCCTAAACATATGACTCCTGCCCTCCTTACAGCCACCCCCAAAATGTTCTCCAAGGTTGTAAAATGCCCCAGGATGATGACAGCAATAACAACAACAACAACTTAACAGTAAATATTTAGCGAGTGCTGAATATGTACTATGCACTATACCATGTCTATAAACACAATGATAACCTCCATTTCACAGAAAGACAAAAAAACTGGAGATTTATAGGGGTTATGAGATTTGCCCAAATTGAAGCCTATAAGATGACAGAGGTGAAACTGCAACACAGGTAATTTGACTTCAGAACCCAAAAGTGTGACCACCAGCTTAGTTAGGGTTGGATCCCATGTGACAGAAAAGCCCAATATAGCAGTGACTTAAATAAGACAGAAGTTTCTTTCTTTCTGAATTAAAATAATGCTGGAAGCTGACGATCTAGGGCTATTTGGCAGTTTCTCAATCCTCTGGATCCAGCTTATCACTCTGTCTAATGTATGTACCTCATCCTCCTGTTCTAAGATAGATGATAGAGTACCGGCCATCACAACTGCATTAGCAAGAGACAGAAAAAGGCAAGTGATCAAACATTACCTGTCTTCTAAGGAGGTTCCCAAAAAACCACCAGTGCCAGGCATAGAAAAACTTTATTCTAGTTGGGCCTTTGGTCCCACACTCATCTCAGTTAGTTGGGCTAGACCAAGTATGAACCCAGGACAGACAGGCCTCAGGCCTAGATTAGGACAAAACAGGCCAATGATGTCACTGTCACCTTTCCACAAGACCTATCTTGCCACAGATGCAACAAGGAAAAATAAAGAAGTCTCTAGAAGGGATGGGAAACAGAGAGAGGAAATGGACCTAACTCAGGGGCCCAGCAGACATCTCCTCCCCCTCCCACAGTGGTATTTGTTTTTGTTTTTGTTTTTAACAGATGAAGTCTCACTGTGTTGTTGCCCAGGCCAGCCTCAAACTCTTGGGCTCAAGGAATTGTCCCACCTCAGGTTCCTAAGTAGCTGGGACTACAGGCTTGTGCCACCATGCCCAGCTACCCCCAAGTGTTTAAATATGTCTTTTAGTAAAGGTGGGAAGCCTTTGGGATTTGAACCAGGGTTGACTGACCCCAAATCCCATGTTCTTTCCAGTATACCACACCATCTCTTTTTTTTTTTTTTTTTTAATCAACATTATCATCCAGTAGTTATTCAAATACATACAGGGGCCCATGAGGTGAAGTGGCACAGATGTTTCTAGAGCTAGGGAACTGCTCCCAGGGCCCCTGCCACACCACCCAAAGTGAAATAGGTCAGCCCAGCCTTTTCCCCATATGAAATTATTTCCAGAAAGAAAAATCCGCCAAGAGACAAGTGCTGCCAAGAGTAGGGAGAAGAGATGGTGTATTGGGGCCACATGGGACACTTCTGGCACTGCCCATACCCAAAAGATAACAGAGGAATCATATACATGAGGAAGGGACATCTTCCTTCACAGCCTCCATCCCTAGACATTTATTCGGAGAGAGCACGTCTCTGTCCTCTGGAACAGAAAGGTGCTGTACTGGTCCTGCTGGTCTTCCTGAGAGGAGCCATGCAGAGACAAGCCTCTCCCCAGTTCCACCCCTCCTCCTTTGGGCACCCCTTCTCCCCACACATCAAATTAGCCTGAGAGTCCAATCCAGAATGCAAGGAAAGGAATGCAGGCAGGGAATCTCAGAGCCTCTCCTCACTGAGCTTATCTCCCTCGGCCCCCACCCCCCATCTCAGGCTTGCTCCCCCTTGGTAGAGTTCAAGGCAGGCTTATTTCCTCCAAGGTTGTCACAGACCAATTTTCTAAACTGCATGAAAACAGAAAACAAACTGAAAATCAGACCTACCAAAGCTCAAGTCTCAAGAACAGCTTGGCAGGCCTGAGCAACGTGCTAACAATTTCATGCTGTTTTAATAGTTTCTAACTAAGCAACATGTACCAATAACCAGATGTGCCCCAACACCGGAAGAGGAGAACATGGGCTTCTAGGGACAGAGACTTAGAAAACAGGAACACACTCATCAAGAAACACAGCTTCCAAGTATGCTGGGCCTGGGGTTAGAAGGGAGGCTGTCTCCATTGGCCTGGATATGCCAAACTCACACTCATTCAGTTAAGTTGCAGATATTTTGATCAATGCCTGCTTTGTGCAAGTCACTGTGCTGGGTACTTGGGATACCACATAGATGCTCAGAGCCTGTGCAGGACAAAGTCAAGGGAATAAACATAATCACAACGCAATGTTATGCTCTGAAATGGAGAAGAGAAGCCCAGGAGAAAAGAGCTGATTCAGGATGCTTCTTAGAGAAAATCTGATTTCATTTCTTTCAAAATATACATGGAACACTTATTATATGCTTAGGATACAGAAGGGAAAAGTCAGGCATAATTCCATCTAATAGGGAAAGCAGTAGTCATCAAATAAGTGAATAAGAGCTGTTGACTGTGCCTGCAGCAGGTGACTGGAGTATTTACTCGGCACCCACCGCATGCAGGCCGCTGGAGATGGGCTCAGCATAAACGCTCACCAGCCAAGAGCCACACAACCTTTGAAGCAAGCCAGACCCACCTCTTGTTTACAGGTATATTATGGCTTGTGAATGGGTCTAAATTTCCCCATGAGATTAATCATCTCCAGGTCTCTGTCACCAGGGCCCCCATCCAACTCTGAGATGACCACTGACCACTGTGGCTGGCAGAGGCCAGAGCCCTGGGCTGTAAGCTGCCCCATGGGACCATCCCCATGGAGTGGGGTTGGGGGTAACCCAGGACAGAAGGGTTCTTTAGACTTATATCCCATTATTTTGTCTTACCACCTGCTTGCAGTACACAACAATATTTTTTAAAGCCTTAAAATTATTGTGAAATAACACATTCATATTGCCTTTGAGGTTTAAACTTGTTAACTTGATAAATATAAACATGTAAGTTATAACATGATTTTGTAATGTAACACTATTTTGGCAATTCTTCTTTTTTTAAATATACTTGGAAGTAAAAAAATTAAAAGTAGCTAGCCTGAATTGGCCTCTCCTGGCCTGAGAGGTCGCTCCAAGTCAGGAGTCCTCCTTTGCCTCAGGAAGTCCCTGGTTCCTAGCAAAAGGTACATTAACTCAGGCTTACTGCTGTCCTAAAGCCAGTGGCCTTCTTTATGAGGCTGTTTTTGTCACCTGTTAACTTGTTTATTGCACCAGTTGTGGAGTGGGGAGGGGAGGATAGGCATGAAGGTCACAAGTAGGTGGGAATTGCACACCTCAGGCCTGAGCCTCTCCTTTGTCATTATTTTCCCAGAATGACCTCTGAGTGGATAGAGGCTGAGGGTACAAAGCCCTCCTTGAACACAAAAGAACTGCAAACAGGCCCCCCCTAATTAATGGGTTTGCTTAGAGCTGTTTCCCTGTTTAGGGACTTCATCCCAATAATTGCAGGCTCCATAATCATTAATCAGTCACCACTACTTTTCTGGGTGCCGACCACAAGCCCAGCCCTGTTCCAGCAACTGCGAGGAGAGAAGAGCAGAGAACAGGAACTCAGATTTATTAAGCGCCTGCCCTACTCCGGGCATTGTGCCAGGGGCTTAGTTTGCATAAGCTTGTAAATCCTCACAATGATCTGGAGAGGAAAGCATTATTATCCCCCTTGTACAGATGAGGAAACTGAGTCTCAAATTAACTAGCTCAAAGTCATCAGCTTGTAAGTGAGAAGCACAATTTGAACCTGGGTCAGGCCAACTCACAAGACTTGGTTCTTGCACTCTGGAAGGTAAGAGACTAACTGCATTAGTCTGTTCTCATCCTGCTATAAGGAACTGCCCACGACTGAGTAATTTATAAAGGAAAGAGGTCTAATTGAGTCACGGTTCCACCGGACTGGGAGGCCTCAGGAAACTTACAAACATGGCAGAAGGGGAAGCAAATGTGTTCTCCTTCACATGGTGGCAGGAAGGAGAAGTCCCAAAGGGGGGAAAGCCCCTTATAAAACCATCAGATCTCATGAGAACTCACTATACTGAGAACAGCATGGGGGTAAGCACCCCCATTATTTACCTCCCACCAGGTCCCTCCCATAACATGTGCGGATAATGGGAGCTACAATTCAAGATGAGATTTGGGTGGGGACACAGACAAACCGTATCACTGTTCAAAAAGGGACAAGAGCTCAAGCCGGGCTCTCTGGACCATAGGAGCCTAGAGAGGGCAGGGGACAACAGGGCTGAGATTCCAAGAGAAGACTTCTCAAAGGAAAGGCAGCACACACTAGGCTCTGAAGGGTGGAGAGGATGGCACACATTTAATAAATTGTACTCGGCACTTTCTCCAACCACTAAGTTCAGGTTTGGAAAGGACTGTGGAATTTGTGCCTCATTTGGGGGCCAATAAACATTTAGTAAAATGTCCAAGGAGGACATGTAGAGACACACACACACATGCACACAGATCCACCTTGGCAGCTCCAGATAGAGCCTGGAACTGGCACAATGAGAAAGGACTTCAGCAGGCAGCAAGTTACTGGCATCAGACACCAGCAGGGATTAGGGCGAGGGCCAAACCGAGAGGAGGAGATGTGGAGTCAGCAGGTCCTGTGACCACCCTGGACCTGGAAGGTTGGCAGCTCCCTGGGAATGTCTCATCCAAGTGCCCAATTTAGATCTTACCCCAGAACTTGAGAAATGCCAGGGAAGAGGAGAAGAGCCAGGAAATGATGATGAAGAGCAGGGACTCACCGAGAACTGGACCCTCTCTCCTTTCCTAGTCATTCCAGCCACAGCCCCAGCTCTGAGCTCCCACTTCTCGACCCCCTAAACAAGACACTAGTTGGGTATTCAGACCCCTCAGCTTCACGGGAAGGAATACACACAACACAAGCCTATGAGGATTCACCTATCAATCTCTCCTGGGTGCTAGCTCTGTCCACATGAATGTCTCCACCAGGCAGAGACTCAGGGCTCTCAGGCCAAGCTTAGGCCTGGTTAGAGGTAAACATATGAGAGCCAGCCAAGATCTGGCCAGAGGGGCTCATGCCAGCCCAGCCCCAACTGGGGTATATGTGCCAGCCTGGGGGAATCCCACAGGACAAGCTGTTCTTTCCTAGAGCTCGGATAAGGATGTGAGCCTGACCCCAGGGGTCACCCAAGCCCATCTTCCATGGCTCCCAGGGCCTAACACATTGTCTGTATGACAGTCCACAGCACATTGATTTTGCCAATAGGCTGTGACTCCGGATTAGATTCCAGAGTGAACTGCTGGCCTGGAGACCCAAGTCAGCTCTTTTTCACCAGCTAGGCCACTCAGCCTTCTGGAAAAGAGCACTGTGGTCTTGGAGAAAAGGCATGGAGGTCTGGGCCCTGGCTGAGAACCTACAAGCTAAACCCCAAAGAGTCAGCAAGGCCCAGACCCATTATCAGTCAGGATACCTCACCTGGAGACTCGCCTCTCACTCAGATGCCCCAGCCCTAAGCAAAATCTGCATGAGGACCAACCCTCTTAGACTAGGGGACCTTGCACATAAGAGTTGAGGCTTGTCCCGTCCTGGAGCTGCCCCTCCCATCACCTGGCTTCTCTCCCAATCTTCCACAGAGCCTCTCACTATTCCTGCCCTAAATGAAGTGGCCAGAGAGGCAAAAGGCCCATTTATCTTTTTAATTGACCACCAGATACCGACGTTCTCTGGAGAGCCCTCCCACACCACATCTAGATTGCCTGTGGGAGAAGATGTTCTGGAAAGACCATCAGGAAGGAGGCACAAGAAGACAGAAAACAGAGAAGGAGACAGAAGAGCCTGGATTTCCCAAGCTAGAATCCCAGAAGAAACACAAAAACCAAGTCTGTGACCGTCAGGTAAACGACAGCGCTTTATTATTCTGGGAAGATGGTGGTGTCAGGAGGGAAGTGGGGAGGACTTACAACAGTAGATATTCTAAGTGAGAGCTCCTCCTGGGAGGCCTGCCAGCTCTCCCAAGCCTCACCACGCCTGCAGGGCCTGACCAGCAGAGGAGCCTCACAAAGGGGTCACTCGTCCTCTAGAACGTCCAGAGAAAATTGGCCATGGCTCCAGAACCTGGCCCAGCCCATTTTCCAGCCTTCACGTGCCCTCCTGAGCTTTTCTTAAGGCTAATTGGTTCGGATACTGCTTCAGGACAGACCAGCAACAGCTTTAGACCTTTAGAAGGATAGGCTGGAGGGACAAGCCAAGGGTACCCTTCCTGATCATCCTGCATCTGGCTGCACGTCCCCAGCTAAGTAACCAGCAGTGGTGACCTCCCTAGCCCTCCTTCTCCAATCTTGCACTTCTGTCTGGCTGTAGATGTGTATCTCTTGCTGGCAGCTGGCTCTTCCCCACTTCTCTGCCTCCCTTTCTCCAAGCCCCTTCACACTCTGAAGCCTGTGAACCCAGAAAATCTGAGACAGGTCTCAGTTAATTTAGAAAGTTTATTTTGCTGAGGTTGGGGATGCGCCTGTGACACAGCCTCAGAAGTCCTGACAACATATGCCCAAGGTGCTTAGGGCACAGCTGAGTTTTATACATTTTAGGGAGACAGGAGACATCAATCAACATACGTAAGAAATACATTGGTTTGGTCTGGAAAGGCGGGACAACTTGAAGCAAAGGTAGGAAGACTCTTCCAGCTCACAGGTGATACACAAATGGTTACATTCTTTTGAGTTTCTGATTAGCCTTTCCAAAGTAGGCAAATCAGATATGCATCTATCTCAGTGAGCAGAGGAGTGACTCTGAATACAATGGGAGGCAGGTTTGCCCTAAGCAATTTCCAGCTTGAGTTTTCCTCAGTGATTTTGGGGGCCCAAGATATTTTCCTTTCACAAGCCCACAGGGAATGAGCTGTTCTGAGTTGAACAGAACGGGAAACTGCACTTTTGACTCTGAATGTATTTCAATGGAGCAACTTCTGCTGAAAGCCGGGCTCAGACACTGAACAGCCGCTTCAGGGAGATGTGATGGTTGCAACTTGTGAACCGTGCTTTCCTTTCCATTCCCTTTTCTCTACATTTGTCTGATTCACCAGCAGCTCAACACGTCGCCTGCAGCCCATCAAGGCCCTTCAGCCTTCTTTCTCTTGGGCATAAATTGGGCAAGCAACAACAGGAGAGGAGGGTACTCCGGAGGAACTCCCAGAAACCACCTCACCACCAAGGACTGCAGGTGAGCCCGGCAGAGTGAAGTTCAAGGACATTGTCCATAGGCATGGAGTCACACACACACACACAAACACTGGGGCTAGTTTGGGGACGCTGAGCAACACCTGTAGAACAGAGGTGAAGTCCATGGGTAGCTGTCAGAATCCTGTTCTCAGCCGGGCATGGTGGCTGATGCCTGTAATCCCAGCACTTTGGGAAGCCAAGGCAGGCAGATCACCTGAGGTCAGGAGTTCAAGACCAGCCTGGCCAACATGGTGAAACGCCATCTCTACTAAAAATACAAAAATGAGTCTGGCGTCATGGCAGGCACCAGTAATCCCAGCTACTCAGGAGGCTGAGGCAGGAGAATCGCTTAGAACTCAGGAGGCAGAGGTTGCAGTGAGCCAAGATCACAATACTGTACTCCAGCCTGGGTAACAGAGCGAGACTGTCTCAAAAAAAAAAAAAAAAAAAAAATTCCTGTTAGAATCCTGTTCCCTGTTCTACCTGGGAACAGGATTCCAACAATCACCCACAGACTTCACCCCAAGACGGCAAGAGCCAGCTCAAGGCCTAGAGAAAGCGCCACTCACAGGGCAGATTTTCTGAGAATTTAGGGTTGTGTATGGAAGAGGGTTGTCAGATAAAATACAGGATACCAGGATAAAACTGAATTTCAGATAAACAACAAATTTTCTAGAATAAGTACGTCTCAAATATTGCATGTGTCATACTTACGCTAAAAACATTGTTTATCTGAAATTTGAATGTAACTGGGTGCCATGGGTTTTTATTTGCTAAATCCAGCAATTCTACAACTACCCGACTCCACAGTCACGTTAGAAATGATGACAGTATCACAGAGTAAAAAGAACAAGAAAATTGCAATCAGCTCACCTTTTGCTTATCCCTCAGGGTCTTCCTCTTGGTCCTGGCGCTCCCAAGTTCTGCACCAGAACCTCTCTTGCCTCCATCCCACCTGACCCCTTAGCTGCTCTGAGCTCCTGTGGCCCAGGTGTAGGCCAGTGCTTTTGTCTCTTAACTCAGCTGCACTGAGGTTGAATTTTTCAAAAGGAACTTTATTAGAAAACTAGAGGAGCATATAAATATCTGAATTCATAAAAAAAAAAATCGTAGTTATCACACGTAAGGAGATTAAATATCAAAGCCCTGGGAGCTAAGTCCAGCCATGGTCTACTCGTTTTTTTTCTCCGAATGTTACTGGATCCATTGACTTGCAGTGAGGGTTTTTAAGCTGGCTGTACCTTCAGTGAAGCCGAACCAACATTCCGGAAGAGAGGCTCCACTGGCTGCATATTAGAATCACCTAGGAATCTTTTTGCCGCCTATCCTAGACCAATTAGATCAGAATTTCTAAGAGTAGGTTTGGGCATCGGGATATTTAAAAGCTCCCCAGGTGATTCTAATATGTATCCAGGGCTGAGAACTCATGCACATTGGAATCACCTGAAAACCTGTTTAAAAAATTGCTTGCCTCCCACCCTCAGAAATTCTGATTTAATTGATATGAGGTGTGGCCTGGGTATTGGGATTTTTAAAAGCTCTCCAGATGATTTTAATGTGCAGTCAAGTTTGAAAACCCCAGCTCCTCACACTTTAACAGAGTCCAAATCTCCGGGGGATTTTACTAAACTGGAGATGCTGGGGTGGGGCCTGAGATTCTACATGTCTAACAAGTCCCAGGTGATACGATGCTGCCGGTCTTCATACCACACTTTGATTAGTAAGGTCCTAGATCAATGGGTCTCACGACTGGATATACAGTGAAATTACCTAGGGAGCCTTCACAACTACCTCAGCCTGGGCCCCACCCCAGAGATTCTGATGTAATCTGGATGAGGTGGGGTCTGGACATCAGGATTGTAAAAGCTCCCCAGGTGATTCTCATATGCAGCCAAGGTTGAGAACCTTGGCTGTAGACCAACATCTAGGCGTCATTTTACAAGTGGCCCTGTGACCCCCAGTGGGGAATACCGCTCTCCACAAGCCTTTCTGACTCACCTCCGTTCCCTGCCCCAGCTGGCAGAAGATACTTTCTTCTCCTGCCTCAGAAGGCCATGCCCTCTAGTAAAAATTCCCTTTCTCCCACTCCAGGCTGAAGAAAGCCTCTAATTCCCAGCTCGGTTGCAGAAGAGAGATGATTGCCACAATACCCTGAAAGCACTTCTGGTCAGGCCTGCCCATTTGGCCTTCTTCAACTTTACCTCTGATTATCAACCGTTCCCCCTGCTCAAGCGGTCTTCTCTAAGGCCGCCTCTGCCAGAGCAGCCACGGGCCACAGAGAAGTACGCTTCACCTGCCAGTCACAAGCAAAGAAGAGAAGTTCCGTGCTTTGACAGAACACTATCAATCACAGGTGCTGAGCCAGTTTCATTACTTAGCTGTTCCCAGGCCAGTTAACATACAACCTCTCCCCTCTCCTACCTCATCCTTTTGAAATGGAGTTGTGGTGACGCATGAAACAAGATGTGGCCTGCAGAGAACCAAAGGGAAAACGTGAAATTAAGGAAATTATGACTCTATTTTGGGGTAATTTCCATGAAATTATTTATGAATCTTTTCTTTCCCTAAGGGGTGGCCATAAATCTCATCTTTAATGCATCTTCATTCGTAGCTTTCATCTTCTGATGGGCCTGCATCTTTTGTTGGAAGTTGGATGTTGCTGGTAGAAATGTTAAGTCCACGTCTTAGGTGTACGGAGTTTGTATAAAATATGAACTCTAATGTGTAGAATTTGCAGGTCGCTGAAGTGTCACAGTCTACTGAAATGGGTCTGGAATCAATAAGGTACACATCAAACTCAATTGTATTTAATTTTCACTGCTACCTAGAGGAAAGCCTTGCATGGCCCTACTCGCATGAAATTAAACATGAAAGCCCATCTGAAGTGTAGAAGCAATACTTAAAATGACCTGTAAATAGAGCAAAACATGGCAGCCCAGCCCATCGCAATATTATCGTTCATTTCTCTTTCCATAGTGGAGGTGACAGCCCCCATAAGAAAATCGGAAGAGACACAAGCACATTGCAGATCTAAAGGAGAGCTAAGTGTTTTCAGTTACACACCAGCAGGGCTTCCCTCTCTGCACAGCCCTGGAGTCTCTTCCAAGTGGAAAATCACACTCTGTCCTTCAGCCTGAGAGTGAAGAGAGAAGGCAAGTAAAACAAGGACCTCCTGAACTTGGCCAGCACTCCACCCCTGCTGCCCCCCACCCCACCCAGCTCAGTTCCTTGGCCAGTGAGATAATGGAAGGTTCAGCCCTTGCAGCTGACGTGGGGTGGGGAGCAGACGCCCACTCTGGGCACTTCCAGCTGACACTGACCTTTCAGTCATGGAAACATTCCCCAGACCGACACTAATCGGGGGCACATCTGGCGTTTGGACTGCATCCAGATGGGGGTTTGTGTTAGTCGAGTCAGCATGATAACCCGCTGGGGAGGGCGGGAGGGGAGAGGACACAGCAGCTGAGAGCAATCCCCATCCTTGGCTGTGTGAGGGAGAGGTGGTCATGCTGTGGCCAGTGAGTCACAGACTAGAGACCACCTAATCCCTGTCCACCCCTGCTCTCCCTGCTCCCTCCAAAGGAGGACAAAACTGGATCCACCCAGAAAGGCAACTCGCCAGAGTTGCACAACTGGTCAGCAGCAGACTGCGATCTCAGTGTCCCGGGAAACGATCTCAGTGTCTCATCCACTCTATTGCACTGCCCACTTTCTACACTCTCTCAAAGTGTAGCGTGTTATTTCAGGATAAAATACATGCTAAGGTGATGAAAAGAGTCCAGCTGTTTCTTCTCTTTCACTTCCTCTGATTTATAAAAGTATAGGATGATTTTCCAAGACAGTGACAAACCACCGTCGCTCCCACCCATTCCACCCACCCCAATTCTTTCATCATAGCTTCTTTTCTGGATTTGGAAGAAGAGGCTGCCCTTTCTGACTGTTTCATGGACTTTGTCAGAAATCAACACAATGTCTTATCTCCCATCCCTAGAACGAGCAACTGCAATTGGGAATAAGACTTCATAGTATCGAAGGTCCAGCTACACAGGTCAAGAATGACAAATGGTCTTGGCCAGCTCTCAGCCTCTGCCTTTACAAAGTCTGACACCTGTTGCAGTCACGAATTGCACTGCTAAAGAGGTAATCAAGCAAACCAAAGCTAGGATAAAAGGGATTATGTCTCCACTCACCCACACAGAAAGAAGGCTGTCTCCAACTGCAGAAGGAAGTTCTTTCCATGGGCCCTGGAGCACCCTCCCCACTTGTGGGCACCATGGTTCAAGTCTGCCCCAGTGATCCTCTCCTGTATAAACCTCCAGGTCTAGATTATGGAAACCAGGAGTCTCATCCAGCTGCTCAAATAACAAAGAAGTTAGCAGGATCTTCTGGTATGAATAATTGTAACTGCAGAGATCTATTCAGCCTTAACCCTTTGCTATAAACCTACAGAGAAACAAGGAAGCAACCCAGGTAAAAGCAAGACAATGGTCAGTGGTCAACTTCCCAAGGTAGGTTTCAGCTTCCACATTAACTAATCAGCTTGCAGAGCTTGCAGCACCTTCTACATCCAGCCTCTAGACAAAGGGCAACTATCATCCACCAACCGATTTTGTCCTCTTCTGGAAGAATCAGAAAGGAAAAATGTCTTCACTTCGTTTCTCCTACTGTCCTCAAGATCACCTCCCTCCCCAAACCCCTCACTTCTGTTGTCCTCTCTAAGAAATATGCTTTATCCACTCCAATGGGCAGGACAGTAGTAACTGAGACAGGAGAATGACCCTCCTCCTTGCTTTAGGGAAGTTATCAGTTCCACCCTCCTCGGGAAGCTCTGTAGTCTCTGAGAAGAGGCTCACAGACACCATCACTCTACCTAAGCCAGTTAGGTCCTCTGCTGGTGCCAGCCTCTTTTTTCCCCACCAATGAGTTGGTACAAAGCCATTCCGTGTTCCATGCCAAACCAGTTATTCGCAACACTCATCAAAATCCGCCTCCGTCCACTAACTCAGCACTCCTGTTTTCCTAGCATAGCCAACCTCCCTAACACCCTGACATCCTGGCCTTCAGCTTCACTATTTACATCACATGAGAGATTTGGGTTTTGAAAGCCCAATTCCCCCTGAAGAAAGTATGCAGATGATTCATCTTCTCTGAAAAAACTACCCATCCCAGGCCTTGATATCCATGCCAAAAAGTTCCTGAGGTGGGGCTCGGAGAGGACAGAGTGGGGGAGTTCTGTTACATGGGAGAGCACTGTCTCAGTTTCCAAATGAAAAAGATGACACTCTGTTCTTGGGGCACTGCTTTGCCAGGGTGTCCTGCAGAAACCAAGGAAGCTTCCGTCCTGGAGTCACTGTGGACACAGCCTTGGATCACCGTGGAGCCTCAGACCACACTGACTGCTCCCTGTCTCCGTGTCTAACCCCCTCTCACATAGAGAGATCTGACCGACCACAGACATCCCCTCTGGCCTCCCGAGTGGTTTCTTCAGCACAGCTTCCAGAGCCAAATTAAACGTTCACTCTATGTCTATAGACAAAAAGGGTTTTGACTAAACTCTGTGTTTTAGAGAGGGAGTTAAATGCCGTTAACTTTTTAGGGGTGGGTGAGAGGGATGACAAATAACAACTTGTCTGAATGTTTTACATTTCTCCCCACTGCCTCAGGAAGGTTCACAACGAGGTCATCCGTGATAAGGAGTAGACCTCCCAGCCGGACCGTCCCTCAGCCCCCAGAGGACACTCCACAGAGATATGCTAACTGGACTTGGAGACTGACTCACACTCCAGAGAAAAGCATGGAGCAGGGGTGCAGGGAGTGGGGCCAAGGTCCCAGGGACAGGATGTCTAGGAGAGAGATTGGGGTGAGGGTAATCCAATGCAATTACTGTGGCAGCTCAACATTCAAGGGAGGGGGAAGAAAGATGTGCAGCAGAGATGGTAAGCTCCAAAATTTGAGGCTTCAGCTGCTGGAAAGTCTTAGGGGCAGAGATAATAAGACATAGCAGACTTTGAGGGTTTACTACACACTAGACGCTCTATGCATTTACTTACTTATTATCTCTTATTTATTACTTTGTGTAACTCTTGTCATAATCTTATGAAAACAGAAACCCTCACATAGCCATTTTACAGATGAGAAAAGTGACATTTTTGATAGGATAGCTAAGGATAGCTAGTAAGTAAAGGAGCTGGGACCTAAATCAAAGCCTTTCTAACCAGAGTACACACTCTTTTCTTTTTCCAGGATAATTTTTTTTAATTTTTATTTTAAGTTCTGGGATACACGTGCAGAAGGTACAGTTTTGTTACATAGGTATATGTGTGCCATAGTGGTTTGCTGCACCTATCAACCTGTCATCTAGGTTTTAAGCCCTGCATTCATTAGCTATTTGTCCTGATGCTCTCCCTCCCCTCCCCACACCAGACAGGCCTTGGTGTGTGATGTTCCCATCCCTGTATCCATGTGTTCTCATTGTTCAGCTCCCACTTATGTGTGAGAACATGTGGTGTTTGGTTTTCTGTTCCTGTGTTAGTTTGCTGAGGATGATGGCTTCCAGCTTCATCCATATCCCTGCAAAGAACATGATCTCATTCCTTCTTATGGCTGCATAGTATTCCATGGTATATATACCATATTTTCTTTATCCAGTCTATCATTGTTGGGCATTTGGGTTGGTTCTATGTCTTTGCTATTGTAAATAGGAGTGCACACTCTTGACCACTACACTGGAGCACCAGGCCCTAGAAATAGTGACTATATTCATTAACCAATTAGAAACTAGTATGTGGAGGGTATTGGGAGCAGGTTTAAGACTCTGAAAGATAGTCTGGCTTCATTTTAACCAGGGAATTAATCATCCATTCCATGCAGCACCATTTTCAGAAAAGGCATTCCCTGGCGCTCACCCTAAGTGTTTGTATTCTATGGCTAGATAGGCCAGTGTATAACTACTCCTTTTTTCAACACTTCTTCCAGCAAAAACACAAAAGAGCATGGTGAGCTGAGCTTATACTCCGTACCAGAGGCCTCTGATGTCCCATCTGTTAGTAGGATACCAATCCATGGCTCCTCACTTTCTAGGAGTCTCGGAGGAGACAGTGGACCCTGGAGACACCCAGGACACAAAACCAGAGCAAGATGAAGAAGCTCCACTCACCTCTCCCCTCATTCTTGTCCAGAAATTTGCTCTATCTTCCCCATTTTTTGCCCTGTCCAAATTACCCACCACAATTAGACAAAAGGCCTCAAGAGGTCTGCAGAGGGGCAGGATGAGGGCAGGGGTCAGCTTTTCTCCTTCAGTTGATTGTTTTGTGATTACTTTAGACTTGGTCTAGTCAGGAAGAATCCGTCACTCTCAGCAGGCAGTGGGTGGGGAGAGGTACCAGCAGACTTAGAAGTAGATATGGAATGTATTAAACCGTGGTGCAAAAAGAAAGGCCTGAGAGGTTAAACCAAAGAGGGAGATGCAGTTGCACAAAGTTAGGGGATTGAAAGAGTCCCCAAGGTACCAGAAGGTCCAACATAGTAAGAATTTTAAGAGGTGATAAAGGTAACTTGCTGTCAGAAGAGGCAGATATTACTAAAGAAACAAGTGAAATTGATTCCTTTCTCACGCCACCATAAAGGTGAATGGCTACCAGATGGTCAGACAGAAATACCTGTCCACAGGCTGCTGGAGAGAAAAATAAATGCAAGAAGAAATCAGATCCTCCTCTGAGCAGGTGAGCAGGAAATTAAAATATCTGTACACTGACCACAAAGCAAGACCACACATGGTCGTCAAGAGGCTGTTCAGAAGACAGCAGGAGTGGAAGTTAGCGTCTAACCCGTCTGCCGCCCCACACGCAGAAAGCCTAGTCACAAACCTCCCAGTATCAGAGGGAAAAGCATTTGGAGAAAACCCAGCAGAACCAACAGGAATAAAGATGGGACAGCAGAGACCCAGGTCACTGTGGGAAAACCAAGCTCACATCCTAGAAGAGTCATTGGTCCAAGTAACAATTCCTTGAGCATGTGCTATGTGCCAGGCCCTCAGCCGGGAGCTTTTTCAGTGTTTTTCTAAGTGTAGGCAGTTTCTGAAATGGCTCTCAGTGATTCTTGCCTCCCATGTAATCCCTTCCTCTAAGTGTGGGCTGGACTTAGGGACTTGGTTCTAATGAATAGAATATGGTAAGAGTGATGGGGCGTCACTTACTCCCACCAAAAAATCTCCCTGGATTTGTGCTTCATAGACTCCCATCTCTCCTCTCCAGCATGTCTTTCAGATTCTGGGCATCGGTGAGTAAATCTTCTTCCTCTCTGAATAATCATCTTTTCTGTGGGCTTGTTGCTACATTTCTCCCAGAAGACACCCACATACACACACACACAGCATGCACGCACACCATTACACTAGGAGGAGGAGGGAGCTCAGCCTCCTCTTGCCATTGTCCTGCTCCTTCCCAATCAATCTGCCAACCACAAATTAGCATTACACAGGCATTTACAGTGTAGCCTCCAGGGATAGATAGAAGCTGCTAATCCTTAAGAAGGAGCGCTGGTACAATAGCAAGTGGCCTGCAGCCTCATCTCCGCTCACGGGGGTGTTCCTGTGCAGCAGCATCTTGCTCCTTTGTGAGCTGGCCAAGTCAACCACAGATGGTGGAGTCACTAGGCCTTGGGCAAAGAGGAGACACTGGAAATCTAAGGAGCACCAAGCTTTGCAAATGGCTGCATGACATGCTGTTCGCTGTTCGATGACTCTATTTATCCTCAGCAGATGATCCTCTTGGAACGGATTCCTTCTCAGAGCTTCCAGCCTGGTATTTTGTCAGTATACCCTTCCATTTTCCATTTCTACTGGTTAACATTAATGAATGGCTCCAACTGGGACCAATCCAGGGCATGAAATCCCCTGGGGGGGTCAAGTCTGTAGTTCCCACCTGCTCCACCCTCTCAGCAACTTGGATTAACAAAGCTGGGGTTTGTTTTGTTTTACTTTTCTTAAGGGATTGATTTGGCCCTCTGAAGTATGATTGAAATTCCTGATCCCAAAGGAAGGCAGCCCTGGCTGGGTTCCCAGGGTCGTTTCTATCCCCAGGCACGGTCTTCAGAGCCCCCAGGGGCCTCTGATTGCAACTCTGCCTGCTGAAATCCCAAGGGCTGGCTCCTGCAGCAGCCTCCTCTGAGGCTTCCTGCTCAGCTCCTGGGCCCTTATCCTGCAGCTGGGTCTGGAAACCAGGGGAGCTTGCAAGAGGCAAAGCCTCTTATCACAAACATTTCCTGCCTATTCCCGCCTGACCCCGCATACCATAGCCTTTCCCTGGCTAGTTGGGCCACCAACGCAGCCCTCACACAAAAGACTTGAAAGGCAGGGTCCCCAGACTTGTCTCTACTCCAGATTCTTCTCCATCCACACTGTCTCCTTTCTCTAGGGAGCTCACAGGCTCTTCCAGGCCACCCAAACGGTTCAGTCGCTGAAAAGCATGGAAGGAATTCAGGTGGAACCTGCAAGAAAGAAGACAAAAGGCAGGTAGGATTTCTAGTTCAAATAGAAGATGTGAGTCACAGCTGGAGTTGGGCCCACCTCCCCGAGGACCCCACTGTGCTCTCTCTGACAAAGAGATGGAGACAGAGTTGAGAGAAAGGCCTGCACACCTGTGTGTGTGTGTGCATTTCCCTGGTATCCCCACGTTGTGGCCTCCCCATGTTGTGCTGCAAGTGTGGCTGAAGCCGTGTGGACTGTTGATGGTATGTGCTGAAGGTCTAGGAGACAGGGCCAGAGGGTCTAGCCAGCCCAACCCAGCTGTGCTCAGCAGGTCACTAAATTCCACAGCCCCTCTCCCCTCCCCACACCTGGGGCACCCTAGTCACACCCCTTCCCCCGGCCTACACTGGCCTTCTCTCTGCCTCCTGCCCCCAGCTCACTGTGTGGTCCAAGCCCTCTGCCACAAGAAGAGCCAGGGAGGGAGGGATGGGCCTGCGTGTTTACAGTCAAGCATAACTGAGCCTTTATTTTAAATAAATAAAACTTTTAGCTAGTTTTTATTTTCCCTTTCTTTCCAAAAGCAGTTTTGTCCCTCCTCCTCCTCCTCCTCCTCATCATGGCTGAGCCTTTATCTGTGGGGCCACCCAGGGAGGGGCTGTGGGAGGACGGAGGAACAGAGGCCAGACTGACCCTGATGCTTCACGTCTTCTCAGGCCGTGTGAAGTTCTCTCTCTCTCTGTCTCTCTCTCTCATCCTCACAGAGCCTCAAGGTTATTAAGAATTCAGGGATGTCCAGGCCTGAGGAATAGAGACTAAACAGGAAGCCCGGGCTTCATCGTCAGCATATTGTCCATCTGTTCCCCCCAATCACAGGGTTGCCCACCCCCCATATGAAATTGCCATCCATCTGTCTTCCTCTTTGGTCTGTCATCTCTCTGTCTCCCCTGTTGGACCCTCATCCATCTGCCCCTCCCATGGGACACCGTCTCTCAAGGTCTCTTTTGGGTTGTCATAAATCCGCCTTCCCCATGGGATGTTCCATCCGCCTGTTACCCCATCGACCTATCAGTCCATCCGATCCCCTTGATCACCCTTTTTTGTCCATCTGTCTCCTCCCATAGGACTTACTTTTGCCCATCTGTCTCCCCGAATGGGGCCAGCAATGGTGAGTCTCTGAGGCATGGAAACAGTTGGGATTCTCTTCTGGTTTTGATCCCAGCAACCGCAATAGTAGCTACCATCAATCAAGTGTCTATGTGCCATACACTCTACATACATTATTCCCTTTTGCCCTCCAACAGCCCCGTATGTGCTTATTTCCCTGTTTTACCAGAAGGAAACAGAGGCTCAGAAGGGTTAAGTGTCTTGCCCAAGGTCACACAGCTCCTAATGGGAGACACAGGGTAAAAACCGGCTCTGCCAGTATGGAGTAGGGGTGAGGACACAGTCTTCTTACTCCACCCCCAGAATGTAAGACTCCCCTTCCCCTGGCCTCCCTGCACATTTAATTTACACTTTGCTGCTGGATGTTTTCAGACTGATGAAGTTTCCTCCCTGCCCTGGCTCTGCACAAAAAAAGTGAGGGAAGAAAAGCAGCCAGATGTGAGAGCATTTTGAAGGTCTTTTTGGGGGGATGGAGAGTGATGTTAAATAAACATCCAATGGTATTCTTTCTGCAAAACGATCCATTTTCATGGCACCCAGGAGTTCGTCCAAGGGTCTCTGGGTCACTGGGGAAAAGTATTCCGTGTGTTTTGGCTCCATATTCTTCCATTGGCCACAAAGAGCTAATTCTTCCAATTAATGAAATCAGCACCACTGATGGAGATGTACTGACAAATTATTTTCAAGATGAATATATTCACACCCATGGTGGGACTGATTGGCCTGAAGGATTTGGAGGTTACAGAATGAAGGTCCCCCTGCCCACCGAAGACACTGAGGTCATTCATGGTGGCCGGGATGTTGGCCACCATCTCAAGGGACGTCTCTCTCCGCTGGAGCCATGGAGACTGGACTGGGTTGTCTGTGTGGAAGGGCTGCCTATCAATGGGCTTCTGTACGGCCTCAGCAGGTCCCCAGCACCCCCCACCCCCTACTGCCCCAGCCAAGTCCCCTTCAGGGCCTGGTCTGAAGGGCCTATTCAGCATTTAGGACTCCCTGATGGGAAGTGAAAGAGAGACAGACAGATGCTTCCGTGGAGCTGGGGAATAGCTAGAAGCCTGGAGACAGGAAGGGAAGCTTGAAGCCACCAGGGAGGAGCCCAGAGAGAAGAAAAAAGGCAGGCCGGAGGTCCTATAGGATAAGAAAGAGAAGAGGGGAAGAGGGGAGGCTGTGAGGGGGTAGAGAGAGGGTGGGAGAACCAGAGGAGGGGGAGGAGGCCGGAAGGAGGCCTCCATGCCGAGGGAGAGATCCCAGTTGGGAGACAGACCAGAGCCAGAAAGCAGTGTGGGATTTTTTAAGCCACATATTTAATTTCCTGATGATATTTTTTTTCAGGCTGATATTCACAGCATTTTTCATTCCCCAAGCAGCTCTACCAGTCATGAAAAAGTGATCCAGAGTGAGCTGAGTGATGGGCCCAGTTTGAACCTGAACAGACCCATCAGGATAGCCCAAAGTCAAGGCAACATGTCCTCTCTTTTTCTAAGCACTAGAGACTAAGGACAAATTTTGCTTCTGGCTGGTCTTGGAGGAGGGGAAAACAGTTTCTAGGCAGCGCTGGTGAATAAGTGACAATGCAACTTCAAGGGCTAAAAGATCTCTGTTAATCATCTCTTTGGTTTCTGTTTTCCTATGTGGGCCCTGACTGAATCAGTATTCTGAGCTTTGAGAGTTATAAGTTAGGAGCTAAAGAAACCAAAGCCCAACTTTCTCCAGGGCATCTTATACCACTACCACCAAGCCATTTTTCTAAAGCCTTATTTTCCTGCTTAAAAATCCATCTGTGAAGCCCTATGCTTACCAAATAAAGTCTACACCCTTCAGCCAGAAAAGCAAGGCCCTCTAGAACCCAGCTGCTCCAAGTGTGGTCCAAGACCAGCTGCCTTGGCATCACCAGGGGCCATGCCATGGACCTGCTGAATCACCAGGCAACCCTTGTGCCGTGACAGCACGAGAAGCCTTGCTCCTTACCGCTTCTGACCCACTCCAGATAATCTCCTGCTGCTGCCATGGAGGAGGGCTACTTCCACAGCAAACTGGAAGTGGAAAAGTCTTCAAATATACCTTTCGCTTATCCAGTTCTGAGTGCTGGTTCCTGACTTTCCTTTATCTTAAAGATGCTTCCCCTTGTACCCCCTTGAGGAAATCTCACCCACATTTAAGACCCAACTCAAATGCCATCTCTTCCAAGGATCCTTCCCTTCTTACTGTCCCCTTTCCTTGCTAGAGGTTAGAACTTCCAAGGCAGTTTGTTTGAATCTCCCTTGGAGTGCTTTCTACCTTCTGTCTTGCATTTTGATTACTCATGTACTTATCAAGGGGCAGCATTGTGTAGTGTTTTGCAGGGTTTCCTGGGTTCAAATCCTTGTCCCATGGCTTCCTAACAATAGCACCAAACAAGTGCCTAATCTCTTTGGACCTCAGTCTTCTCATCTGTAAAATGGGAGTAATAATGATACCTACTCATAGAGTTGTTGCAAGGATTTTTAAAATATATTTATTGAATACCTATGTGCCAAGCAATGGAGATACAAATGTGACCAAAACCATATAGTTCTATTCTCATAGTGGATTACAGTGCTTGTACAGTGTTTAAAACACAGCGAGTGTTCAATACATTTTAGCTATTATTATGCCTTATCACATTCACCATACCCTGGGCATTTGTGTAAGGCAGGGAGCATATCTACAAAGATACATAGGTGTTATAGCCCCAACATCTAACACAGAGCTTGGCATATAGTGTGCACTCAAAAAGTGATTGTCAACTGACTGAGATGACCCAAAGAACAATGTTCTTAATTGCACAGGAAATGAGAGCTGTCATCCCTAAAGCTCTGTGCTTACCCAACATGGCAGTCTTCCCAAGGTTGACTGTTTTGTGCCCCTTTTCCTAGAACCATAATTTGTTTAATCAATGATTGCTGTTATTTTTCTAATAATCGTTGGTTAAAAGTTCTGTTTCCACAGTGTGGTTTCCATGCTGTCCTCTCATTGGTTTCTTTCTGTGTCCCACTCCCTGCTTCCCCTCTGAAAGCTCAATGTTATGTTTTGGGGTGGGTTTTTAGGGGAGCAAGTAAAATATTTCCACTGGACATAGTATTTATTTTATTTTTAACTCCTTTGTATAACTTAATCAATTGTCTCATTAACATTCTTTTGACTCCCCCAAAAAATGGTTTCTTAAAATTCTTATTCTGTGTTTTCATCTCCAGGGGAACACTTGGGCTGGGTTTTCTACCAAGAATGACACAATTCTTTCCATAGCTACATAGAGGTGGAATTTGAAAACCAAGAGAGTTGTATTGGTCCAGCTCTATTGCCTTAGTCCTACGCCCCAAAGAATTCCTCATACACACAAGACCCCAACTCTCCCACTGGCCACGTTTTGCAATGCTGCCTCTATTAAAAATGTTCTCTTTCTGGTTAAATCCTAATGGAAAGTGAAATAAATACCATTTAAAAAGCTCTTTCAAGATGAGGGTCATTCCAGAGTCCAGTTGCCTTGAATTACAATGATCCTTGACATATCACTACTTCCTTCAGACTCAGTTACTATATATTTTTTTATTTCAATCAACAAGCATTTTAAATTTCCTTTCGCATTTCCTTGTGGTGACCTGGTTTTGTTTATCTCTCCTTTCATTTTTTCAAGATGGGGTCTCACTCTGTCACCCAGACTGGAGTACAGTGGCGCAATCAGAGCTCACTGCAGCCTTGAATCCTGAGGTCAAGCGATCCTCCCACCTCAGCCACTCAAGTAGCTGGGATTGCAGGTGCAGACCACCATGCCTGCTTCTGGTTTGGTTTAGAGGCAATTCAAATATCATATGTCTCCTATAGTTCCGTCCCATCTACAATTTGCATGTCTCAATCTTCTTTTTTGTTATCCACAGGCAAAATATTATTCAGTGCAAGCTCCTTCCACCCTGATAGGAAAAGATTTTCCCCTGTATTGTCTCAGCTTTAAGAAAGGCAGAAAAAGACAAGTAAAGTCACTTGTTTGGGATTTCAAGGAACAGGGAAAAAATGGAACCTCTGGCAAATGGGAATGTGATCTACATGGGAAAATCTCTGAGAAGACACCTACTCTTCCATTGGTCTTTGTCTCTGAGGCTCCTGGAGCTGCAGCCTCATAGGAATGGCTCCTTGTTGGAAACTGGGGCAAAAAAGTACAGCACTGGTAAGGACAGAGGGCTCTGTCTGTGGAAAAGGGACAATCGGTGAACTTTCGAGCCCGGGGCAGGGGCAAGGTTTCCAGTGTGAGCTAGACGTCTGGAAACTCAATCTCACCTAGAGTATCAGTTACCTCACAGACTCAAACCCTCTCCTGCATAAAGGGTGGCAGTAGCGGGGCGGGCCTCTGACATGAAACCCTCTGTTCACTTCTTAATTAACTCTAAGAAATGTGCATCAGAATTTCTTAGAAAGGGAAATTGTTCTGCCCGGTAGAAGGACAGAGGTGTCATCAAGATAGGAGTTTGAGTACGACAAAAATATCAAGAGCTTCCCATGTCTGTCTTGGCCCAGAGAATTAGACATTAGTGGGGTCCCTCTTTAGATCATGGAACCATTGCTCCCTGCCAAATTTCTGCTCAGGGCTTGTTTTCCAAAGAGAATCATAAGAGTTACCTTTGCCCTGCCTACTGTTTTGATATCAAATGTCCTTGGTACTCGAGCATGAAAATATGAGGAACTCTCAGATCCTGATTCTATACACTTTGGCAATTCCAGATAAGCACCTGAATTACAGAATCCTATTTAACATCTAGGTGTGAATTCTCTCCCCATTCACTCTGAGCCTGCCACCAGACTAGCCCTCTCTAAGCCTTCATTCACGTATTCTCCATCAGCATTTAGTATAAACCTATCAGTATGCTTGACACTACACTAGGGACTTAAGGTACAAACAGGCCCAAGACGTGATTTGTGCCCTCAAGGGTTTATTTTCTAGCAGGGAATACAAATGTATGGATTAATAATAGCAGCTACTGTTTCTTAAGCCCTTATGAAATGCTTTTTCTTTTAGTGACAACATCTCACTATGATACCCAAGCTGGAGAGCAATGACCATACAAAGGCGTGATCATAGTTCACTATACCCTCAAACTGCTTGGCTCAAGCAACCCTCCTGTGTCAGCCTCTTGAGTAGCTGGGACTACAGGCACACACCACTGCACCCTGCATATGATATGCTTTTGATAAACATTGAGCTAAATAGTTGTAGTAGACAGCCTCTAAAATAGCCCACAATGATCTTCTCCTGAAATTCACATGCTTGTGTAGTGCCCTTCCACACTGACTAGGGCTGGTATAAATAATAGGATCTATGGAAATAATAGTACATGACTTCTGAGACCAGGACATAAATGACAATGCAGCTTCCACCTTGCTCTCTCTTGGATCATTCACTCTAGGGGACTCCAGATGCCATGTGGTGAAGATACTCAGGAAGCTCTATCCTGTGGGAAGGTCCACATGGAGAGGAACTGAGGCTGCCCACCAACAGCCAGCGAGGAATTGGAACCTTCTGCCCATAGCCATGTGACTGAGTCATCTTGGAAACAGTACCTCCAGCCACAGGCAAGCCTTCAGATAACTGTAGTCCCATCTAACATCACGATTGCATCCTCATGAGGCAGAACCACCCAGCTAAGCTGCTCCCAAATTCCTGACCCACAGACAGAAAACAGTGTTTATTATTGGTTTAAGCCACTAGATTTTAGGGTAATTTGCCATGCAGCAATAAGTAACTAATACAGAGCTTTGTGTTCATTTTCTGTTGACTCTTCAGGCCAGTCTTAGTGGGTATTTATTATTATCCCAACTTTACAAATGAGGACACTGAGATTTAGAAAGGTTATAGCAAGAGGCAAAGTCACAGCTAAATAGCTAAGTCTTCTGAACTTCAAACTCTGTGTCTTTAGCCTCTATGTAATAAAATGATTTTGGCGCAAACGCAGAAGTCTATACAGGGAACAAAAGGTCACAGTGGGAGTAGTGAACTCTACCTGGGAAGTCTGGAACTGGAGGGGAGGAGGAGGCAGGGAAGACTTGTTAGAGGATATCAGACTTGCAATGAAAAGGAAGGATGAGCAGATGTTCACCAGGTGGGCAGCAAGGAAAGGGATTCCAGATGAAGCAGCATGAGCAGGGGCATGGAGGCACCAAACAGCCTGTGTTCAGAACCTCTGAAGTTTCCAGACCTGGAAGAACGGAGGCCTTGCAGCTTGTACATAAGGGGATACTCTTGGTTCTTACCCAAGGTCTATTCTTGCAGTCACAGGACAGAACCTGGTGCCCCCCAAATAATTAGCACATTTCCTACAAACTACTGTCCCAATCTCTTCTCTTGATTAACTTAAATCCTCACTCCCCATTTCTTTCCTAGGTCAGTTCTTTTTTTTTTCTTTTTTTTTTTTGAGATGGAGTCTCACTCTGTTGCCAGGCTAGAGTACAATGGCGTGATTCAGCTCACTGCAACCTCCGCCTCCTGGGTTCAAGCGATTCTTCTGCCTTAGTCTCCCAAATAGCTGGGACTACAGGCACGTGCCACCACACCCAGCTAATTTTTGTATTTTTAGTAGAGACAGGGTTTCACCATGTTGGCCAGGTTGGTCTCGATCTCTTGACCTTGTGATCCACCCACCTTGGCCTCCCAAAGTGCTGGAATTACAGGGATGAGCCACCGTGCCTGGCCAGTCAGTCTCTTTTAAAGACCCAGCTCCCTGGCATCCCCATCATGCATACCACTGTTCTTCTTGGCAGGCAACTCTTGCTCCTTACAAAAATGTGGTTATGATGCTTTATATTTGAATTCATAACATCTCTTTTCTACTGCAAAATACTATGTAAACTTTACTTTCTTCTTTAGCAGGATGGCAAGAATGGCAAATTAGGGAGATTCATGGGACCAAGTGTATTGGATTATAGAAAGGTGCTTTTAACTTTTATTAGGTTGGTGTAAAAGTAATTGCGGTTTTTGTCATTACTTTCTTCGAAAATAAACAATTACTTTTGCACCAACCTAATACCTTTTCTCATAGCAGCCTTCTGGATCCTTGGTGGATTATAAATTAGAGACGCACAGTACAAGGAATTAGTAGCTGGTTTAATAACAGTATCCACATCCCAAAAATATTGACCATGGGTTTATGTCAAGGTCTAGAGGACAATCTATATTGGCATGACCAACGGTTCTGCCCTCAGCCCTCTCCCAGGCAACATCTTTTAAACCAATAACTTGAATGAAGATATAGAAAGTAGGTTTATCAAATTACCTAATGGTTAAAACAGGTAGGTAGCAACCCCATGAGATGGCAGAACTAAAACTGTCTCCCAAAAGGCTAACATGAGTCAAGTCTTACCAAGACATCTTTACCTGACATGTAAAGTCCTTCACTTGAGTTCCAAAAGTAACTGCACAGATACACAATGAAGATTTCTGACTCGGGGTAACTGTAAAAGGGAAGAACATTGAAGAGTTTTAGCTCTAGTTGAATGGAAGCGAAGACACAGCCTGCGCTAGGGGAGAGGAGGAGGGACAGTTGGATTCTGAAGGTTTACTGCTGAGATTCGACAGCCTCACCACCAACCCCGGGCTGTATTTAGTAACTCGCACTCTACTCCATTAAATGTGTTTGGGTTTCCAGCCCCCTCCCCGTGGCCCTCACCCCAGACTGAGCCAGGAGCCCTTAGAAGGTAATGAGAACACTGAGAGCTTGGAGTCTGGGAAGAGCTTGGAAACGAGAGCGCTCAGAGCCTCTCCCTGCGCGGCCCTATCCCTGCTGATAAGGCTGCGAGCAAAGCTGGCTGACAAGTGATTGGAAACAGGAGTTCCTAAACCCTTTAACCCTTTCCTACCCTGCTCGTGTGCTGGAGTCTCCATCTCCCTTGGCTTCCCCCTCTCTGTATCAGGGCTCTCTTCTCCCTCTACCAGGCTTTCCATCTACTCCGCCTTTTGTCCTGATGAGTACCGAATGCTGTCCTTCTGCCTGAAAAGCAGTCACTTTCACCACCAAAGATGCAGGCTGCCCAGACAAGTCAACCAGGGAGTCTCCCTCTGGTCCAGACCCTACCAAGCTCACTTAAACAACCACACCTGTGCTTGTCCAGCGCTGCTGTTCAGCAAGCAGCAGGAACCTACCAGGGGAATGTTGGTCCTGTTTGGTGTTTGGGGTTTCTGGGAGCGGAGACGCCAAGGCAAGTCACAGAAACCTAAGCCCAGAGCCATTCTCAGCTGCCCCTGCTGGCTGGGGAACCCTATCAAAGGACTTCAGGGGTCACCCTCTTAAGCCAGACCTGACTTTGCTAGGGGATCCTAAAGGCCTTCCATTCACTTAGCTATTGCCTGCTTCGTGGACAGACCTCTTACAGGCATGGATGACGAGGGGTCTGTCTGTGACAGTGGCCAGCATGACTGAAGCTAAGAGGTAAGCTTCCCTCCTTACCCTGGGGATAGGCATTAAGGAAAAGCCAGGCTTAAGAGCCACAGTAATTAAGTGTAAAAGAAGCTTCCTTCAGTGGAATGGAATTCAGATAAACTGCCATTATCATGCAAAGCAGCTTTGCACCTAAAAGCCCTTACTCAAACAGGCAGTTTAATTAAATCCCTAATCTCTTCTGGCCTATTTGACCCCTTCTCTCCTCCTCTTATCCCCTTACCACCCCCACCCCCTGCCTCAACCACACCCTTACCTTCAAGATTCCATTTAAAATACCCCACCTGTAAGTGTGCAAAATCTACCCAAAAAAGGTAGGTCTGGGGTCCTCTTTAGAGTTTGGTTGGTGTGTCTTAGGGGTTAGCTCCCTGAGGCTCAGACAGCTCTGACTTGGGTGCTGGATGCTGGCAGCAAGAGTGAGCATGATGGTGGTGATTCCCACAATGGCCATGGTCAAATGAAGTGAGGGGAGTCAGCATCACACTCCCACCCACTGATTCCAGCTCAGCCCCAGGAGGCTGATGCCCATTTATAACCCACCCCGTGCCATGAAAAGTCTGCAGTCTCCCTCTCCACAGTAAGTGTGAGGCAGCCCTAATAGGCTTGGATGTTAGGACCCTGCTGTTAAACCAGAAGCAACAGGGATGGAGAAATTGACCTGTCTGTGGGCATCTCCATTTCTGAGGCTGCACTGGTGGCTGCTCTGAAGCCTAGGAGGGATGCTAAACCTGGTAGTGAGATTTGCAGGGAAAAGCCTGCAGCTATGATCTGGAGTAGACTACCTGCTGTCGGTAGGGGGAGAGGTTAAGAGAAGGAAGACTGGAATGGGGTGGGAGGGTGACGAGGCTGAAGTGCACTGATAAAGAAAAACCTAATAGTACCTTCTGATATCTGCAAAGTGCTTTATAAGTTTGTGCCTTCGTTCAGGAAAAGAAAGAAAGAAAATCATATATAGAATATGCCAGGCACCATGGCCTGCTTCTCTCAATTTGAACCTTGTAAAGTAAATCTCCCTCCCTCCCCACTCCACACTCAGGAGAAAAAAACTGTGATGCAAGGAGGTGAAGTGACTTTCCCAGTGGCACACAGCGCATGACTGGCAGAGCGAGGATGCAAACACTGGCCTGCCTTCCTGAAAATCGACGCTCTTTCTGCTAAACCACAGATCACCCACAAGGATTACAATGTTGGAGCGGGGATTAACCACCCAAGAACACTCATGGCATCGTGGGCCAAACTCCATCTCTTCTCCCTCATGCAGCAAGAAAGTTTCCATCTCAAAACAAGCCATTTCCTCTGAGCAGCGGTCTCGGCAAGGATGAGAAAATCAGCCCTCAGCCCTGTGGATGCAGGCCAAGGGAGCTGGGCTTGTGGAGGGCTCCTTGGGGTTCAAACCCAGGAGAATAAAGAGTCCCAGAGGAAACTTTTCTTTGCAGGAAAGAAGTGTCCAGGGCCGTGGTGGGGGAGGGGGCATCTGTAAGTCATATAACAAACACCAGACCTCTCCATTTTATACCTCATTCCTTTGGTGGGGGCAAGCAGTAGAGCCATCTCTATTTGGGAAACAGTGAAACTCAAATCACCATGAACCCTGCACTTTCTCTGTTAATTGTGTGAACTTCACTGTGCCTGGAGAATGCATGGACCTGCATTAGACGAAGTTATATTTCTGGAATATTACATATATATATCTGTGCAATATATCAGTTATATGGAATGGATATAGAATATATTACATATAATAATATATACGAATAACATATATTCCTATATATTATTATATATAATATAATCCAAATATATATGATAATGTGTATTATCTTCTATTTCCTTGTCTTGTGGGTTTTCTTTGCAAAGAGTAGATACCCTTTCGGGAGGTTCCAATAAATCTTATGAATAAATGACTGAAGCTGGCAGTGTTTGAGGCGGCACAATACCCAGCCCCTGAGGGAGCTCCTAAGACTTTTGATTCTCCGGCCCTGAGCCGGTTCTCCCCAACCGGCCCTGTCCATTTGTGGCCACCTCGCTCCAAGCCAGGTATTTCCAAAGGTCATCGACTTGGAATAACAGGTGCTACTGTTTTGACTTCAGCAAGACAGCCTGGGACCAAAGAATCCTCCATAGCTTCAGGGCTGATGTGGGTGGGTTAAGAAAGTTGGATTTTGGATGAGATCTGTTACAGGGTCCTTTGTCCCTCTTACAGCAAAGAAAACTGAGAAGAATTTTAAAAGGCTGCCTTGGTCTCCAGAATCCCTCTGGAAGCAGATGGCATGTCAACAGGTTCCAGGGCAGGCTCCAGAGGCCCCAGACCTGGGAGCCTTATTGGAATGTAATTAACCTAAGTGCTGGCTGTTAGGATGAAAAGGCAGGAATGCAATTATGGAAGGAGCATGAGGTGAGCTTTCATTGATTAACCTGTCCTGTCTGATTCCATTCCCTACTGAGGTGATTTTGGGGCCCCTCTGAGGGTTGCCCTGTGCCCTCGGGGTTATGAGAAAGGAAAACAATCACTGCAGAAAGTGAATACCTAAAACAGAGTTCAGGAGGCCTGTGTGGACCCCCAAAATTGCCTGGAAAATGCACTTGTGCAAAATGCAAAGTGTACACTTTCGAGGAAGAGGCTGGACACTCTTATCACTTGCTTGAAGGGGTCTGCAGCCCCCAAAGGGTTAAGAATCTCTGTTCTAGAGGAGCTAAAGCTCAGCACAGTTGCTAGAGTAGGACCTCAGGAAAAGTTCCTTCAGTTTTCAACTTCAAATGGCCATCATCCATCTGAGTTCAGTTCTGGCTCTACCACTTACCAGCAAGTCACTTAGCCTCTCTGCGCCTCAGTTTCATCTGTAAAATGAGGGACATCCCAGGGTTCATAAGATAATTGAATGATGTGCAAATACAAAACATTTTTGTTTTAGATAGAGTCTCGCTCTGTCACCCAGGCTGGACTGCAGTGGCACGATCTCGGCTCACTGCAACCTCTGCCTCCTGGGTTCAAGCGATTCTCCTGCTTCAGCTGCCCGAGTAGCTGGGATTATAGGTGCCTGCCACCACGCCTGGCTAATTTTTGTATTTTTAGTAGAGACGGGTTTCACTGCGTTGGCCAGGTTGGTCTCGAACTTCTGATATCAGGTGATCTGCCCGTCTCGGCCTCCCAAAGCTGGGATTACAGGTGTGAGCCACCACGCTGGTCAGAATGCAAAATTCTTTTTATCCGTCTTGCTCTGTCACCAGGCTGGAGTGCAATGGCATGATCTTGGCTCGCTGCAACCCCCACCTCCCAGGTTCAAGTGATTCTCCCACCTCAGCCTCTTGAGTAGCTGGGATTACAGGTGCCCGCCACCAGGTGTGGCTAATTTTGGTATTTTTAGTAGAGACGGGGTTTCACCATGTTGGCCAGGCTGGTCGCGAACTCCTGACCTCAGGTGATCTGCCCACCTCAGCCTCCCGAAGTGCTGGGATTACAGGCATGAGCCACCTTGCCTAGCCAAAACTCTTAACCCAACATCAAGCTCTTGGTAAGCACTCAATAAATGGAAGCCATTTTGATTATGATTATCAAAGTCTAGAATATAAAGTGGACTGTGTACATGTACTCTTTAGGAGCAGTCTTTTGGCCCCAAACTAGATTCTATGGGAATCCCCAGGTAAGATGTTCCTCCAAAATGAAGTGGAGCCGTGTGACCCAGGGTCTTTAAACATTGCTTTCTCAAACCCTCCCCCAGTAGGGTACTTCCCCCCTAGAGGCACAGGGATCTGGCCACACTGGGAGATAAGCTTCTGGAAGTTGGGGCACATCAAGCATCTGGTTGGTACCAGTGCCTGGGCCTGACCTGGAGTCTTCACCAGCCTGCCCCTTTTGGGGAAGCTTCTGACAATTTTGATTACCAAAATCTTCCTGCCTTTTGGGATAATACATTCAAATGCTCCATTGAGACAGACTTCTGTATCTTTACAGGCCCTAGAATGAGACCAACCCAAGGCCCAGCATCTGCAGAATGTCCAAGGTGGAACCAGGAAGGAACAACTAAACCACTCCTTTTCCCCTCTTCCCAACACACCCGTCTCTCCTCCCAGATCCTTGGAGCTCTCCGCCCTCAGAACCTACAAGCTGCCCAGGGGTCTTCCAGACCAGTCCCAATTGCTTCCAGCCTCCTTCCTCCAGCACAACCCTGCAGCCTGGGGCCACTGATCGTATGCCAAAGCCTCCCCCACCTCTGGGCTCAGAAGCAGGTGTAATCCCAACTCCAGCAGGGAATCCCAGAGGTGAAGGTCACGGGAGAATCTTTAATCTTCAATTCCCAGGAGAGAAGATACCCAAAGAGCAGGGAGCAGAAGCCAGCTCCAGGCCATCCATTTGTTTATTCATCAATCATTCATTTATGCATTAATCATTCATTCCCCCCACCCATCAATCACTCATCTGCTTATTTGTTCATTCAGTGTGTTTGTACCTTGTCCTTGCTTTGGTTACTGCAGATGTTGGTCCTCTCCTGCTTTGATCTGTCCCGTTTCTCTGGCAGCTGCACAGCAGAAGCCTTCTCATGTCCCTTGTTGGGTACTTGGCTGAGAGGCTGTCTCCCTCTCAGAGGTGCCTGAGGAAAGCCAAAGGGACAGTGCAGAGCTGTCTGCTGTCTGCAATTTCCCTTCCATTGCAAAATCCAGTCTTCTGGTCCATGGGTCAGTGGGAGAGATTGGGAGGGGCTGCAGAGGGGTCTCCAGGGCCAATCGAGGAATAATGGTCTGGACATCCTCACCGTGTGCGAGCTCTGGCTGTTTAAAAAATAAAAAGAAAAAACAATATGCTGATCCTTCTGGGAGAAAGGTGACTGTAGGAGACTCTAAGTTTCTGTGCCTGGTTCTGAGGCCTGAGCTCCGATCTTTGAGGGGGTTTGGGGAACATGGTATGGGAAAACCTGGGGCTGGAGTTTCAGAGGCCTAAGCTGTGAACCTTCTGACAGGTCTCCCGTCTTCCATCCTTCCATCTACCTGGTCCCCGTAAAGTCTGTTCTCAGCCAGCAGCCAGAGATCCTTTAGTAAAAGACCATGTCCTGCCTCTGCTCAAAACCCTGCCCTGACTTTCAGTTCTCTCAGAGCAAAAGCCAAGGCCCCACTTGATGGGGTCCCCCTCATCTCCCACTCACTCCCTCCATTCAGCGCCCACTGGCCCCATCCTTCCAGAACTCACCAGCCACACTCCTACCTTAGGGCTTTTGCTATCATTGTTTCTTCTGAAACAGGCTTGACCTGGATGACATGCTTGAAAATGACTCACTTTCTCACTTCCTTCAAGTCTTTGCTCAATTGAAACCTTCCCCATGAGCCTACCATGACCCATCCTATTAAAAATTGCAAAGCACACAGGCGCGCGCACACACATACACACACACATCCCCCCACTCTCAACCCCCCTGCTCCTTAGCACTCATCATCTTCTAACGTAATACATAATTTACTTATTATTTTTACCGTTTATTATCTGTCTCTGCCTGCTCAAGAATAACTTCCAATAGGGCAGGGGTCTTTGTATGTTTTCTTCACTGATGTGTCCCGAGGGTGGGCCATCCCACGGATGCCTGGTATATAGCAAGAGCTAGTAAAACATTCCTTGGATGAAAGAATGAATGAGTTAATGGGCTATAGGAAGCTCTGAGGATGCAGCTTGTGAAGCCACGGGCTGTGGAGTTTGGGGCTTCTTGCGGGTAGAATTTAGGAGGCCCACAGTGGCTTCTATCAGCTGTGCTGAGGAGAGATGAGCCAGGCAAATTGCCCGCTCCCAGCCTTCTCGGGGAGGAAAGGTAGGCAGCAGCATCGGTGGGGATTGCGCTAACTCAAGATGCCAGCTCCGTGCCGCTCTGGGGCTGGCCAGCGCTCTGGATGTCATTAGCTGATTTGTTCTGCTCTGCAGAATGTACTTTTCATATTTAGGCAGAAAAAACAGCTTTCGATCCTTGTGCCCTTTCTTCTGTGAGCTGTAGCACATGGCCTGCTTATTATGAATTAATCCTCTAAAGAGCATGTTCATTCTTCTAATTTAATTGTGCTTCGTTTCAGAAAATAACTAAACCCAGTGCGGAATAAACTCCAATGCTGATCGGTTTTCAAGACGTTAACCTAAGACAAAACACTGCTAGAGGGCAGCAGCAATTTGGAATCATTAAAGGGAACCCATGTAAATAATAAAAACAAAACTAAAATGCAGAATTAAATTAAGGAATAGGAAATTAAATTTGGGAATCTAATCTAAAATTGAGGCCTTATATGCCCAGGCTTCCCTGGCTTGGCTCTTCACTCAGGACTGCCCAGGAGAGGAGGTTCTGCAGAGGTTCCCACGACCAGGGAAGCGGCAGCCCCTCCTGGGTGACAGTGTGCTGCTCTGGGAAGAGAGATGTGGGCTGAAGTGGGAGAAAGGGGGCTTTCCTCCCACAGGGTCAACTGTGATGAAGACGAAAGCCACACTGTCACAGCTGCATCTGGATGGCTCGTCCTGAGCCCTGGTGACCAGTTCAGGAGAACTGCCTGCAGCCAAGAGTCCGAGCTGCCACTCACTAAGAGGAAGCACAGGAAATGAGGCAGATGGTGCTGAGTGGCTGCTGGCCTGAGATGCTGGGAGTGGTCAGCCCTGGGCAAAGAAGCTGCGCCAGCCCTCCTTCACCTTTGGGCCCTGGGCACCCTCCCACAGGTGACCCAGCTCAAGACGGAGGCTGAGGGAGTTTCCTCCTGCCCGGGCAATGGCCCCTAAGCAGAGTCCTGGCCTCCCCACCACCACCGTGAGAGCCCAGTTCCAGATGGAGGAGCCCCAGACTCCAGCATCACCATGGCAGGTCAGGCCTCCCCCAGGCAAAATGAGAAAGGGAGGATGGGAAGGATGGGGGCTGGGGATGAGAAGAGAGCCAAATTATAAAAGGTCTGCAAGTCAGATGTACAGTCAGGGGCAGAGTTAGCACCTTGGCTCAGGCTTCATTATGTATTGATTTTTTAGACCCTGTCCCTGGAGTAGTCTCTCTTTTTTCTCTCCATATTTCTACCTCCTCTGGCTCTCTTCCTCTCTTTCTCCCACCTCCCTCCTCAAAGTGAAAAGAGATCAGCCTTCTGAGTCAGACAGACTGATTTGGAGCCACAGTTCTTCCTCTTACTTGGTACTAGAGCTTCAACAAACTATCTTGCCTTCCTTGACCTCAGTTTCCTCATATGCAATGCTAATAATATCTGCCTCCTTGGTTTGGGCTAAATGCAAGAAAGCACCTGGCACAGAGCAGGCACTCAGGCACTCCTGCTTTTTCATTCTGTTTCACCAGTGATTCTTTACACACCACTCTCTACACACACATGCACACACGTGCACACGTGTGCACACACAGGCTCCGCAGGCTCCATCCTCTGCCAAAGGCCTTAGACTGTGTTTCTAGAGCACCACAAGTAGTTAGAAAAAAAAAAAAAAAATGTCCAGTCAATCAAATGCAATCAACTGCTTGCTTTGATTCACAAAGGCAAACATTCAAACAGACAGCCATATCCCAGTATCAAAGTGAAGTTTTCCATTGCCATTTTCATTCGGAGTTCTACATGGATAAATTAGCCACCTTAAAATAGATCTCTTTTTTGAAAAAAGAAGAGAATACAAACAAGCAAAGAAAAACTAATAATCACTTGTTCTTATTTAATTCACATTTTGATCAAGAAACTGATGCACAAAATTGAGGCCACAATGTTGATTGGTCAGTTAAACAGTGATTGCGTCTAAAACTATCCAAGATGGAGACCACAAGGACAAAAAAGGCTAAGAGTTCTGTCTTGAATTCCCTGGCTACTTTGCTAACTGCCTGCAGACAGCATGCTAGTCTCTTGCCTGTCTCCTGATTTATACCCATAAATTAAGGCACTGTGTGGCACAACCAATCTCGGTTCTCCCAGAACAAACCCAGAAACCTCAGAGAAGCCACCTGGTGTGGATCCAAAATCCGTGGAAGATCCACCTTCAATGTCAGTGGAAAAGAAGCAGGAGAGCCACACCCTGGCCTGAGGCTACCAGAGAGAAGGAAGGGTTACCCTGAAGGTGAGGACCAGGGCCAGGTAAGCCACAAGGTTGGCCTACACTTGGGTCCAGGGGCAAATACTGGAAAATGACCCCTCAGCCTTTAAAAGTTAAAAAGGTATGCAAATTTCTTAGACACATAAAACTCTTAACAGAAGACTTATCCAGGGAGCCCCACCTGTTGAGGAGCTCAATTGATGGGGGGTTAATTTCTAGAAGGCTGGAGTAAGTGTGGTCAGTTAAATGGTATTATGGACCGCACGTTTCTACCCCCCGAAATTCATATGTTGAAACCCTTATTCCAAATAGGATGACATTAGGAGGTGGGGCCTTTGGAAGGTGATTTTGTTTAAATGAGGTCATGAGGATAGAGCTCCCATGATGGCATTAGTGACCTTACAAGAAGAGAAAGAGACTAGAGTCATTTGAGGACACAGAGAAAAGACAGCCATCTGTCTTCTCTCCAGGAAGAGGACCCTCACCATCTGGAGGTGCTGGTGCCTTGATCTTGGACTTCCTAGCTTCCAAAACTGTGAGAAACAAATGTTTGTTGTTTAAACCACCCAGTTTATGGTATTCTGTTGTAGCAGCCTGAACTGAAAAAGACAAATGGTTTCTGTATTTCTGATCTTCAGTGAAAACCTCCTTTTCCAGAATATGAAACTGCCTCCCTGGGAGGGCTTTTGTGTGGAGGCAGTTTCCCCATTTTACCATGAAGCCTCAAGTCGTGTCTACCCAACAGAAGAGCTTTCAAGGTGGCTACACTTGAGAGGGAAACTAATTTGTTTCCCTAAAACAACTAAATTCCCTTCCATCTTAAGTCCATATAGCTTGAGTTTGTGCAACCCATCCAACCAGGGATCCTTTCCCCATTGGTAACTCTAATATTATTGCTGATAACACTACTGAAAATAGTCAACATTCATTGAGAGCTTACTTGATGCCACACATTTGTTCTAAGTGCTTCATAAGAATTATTTCATTTAATCCTTACAACAACCATATGACGTAGACATTATTGTCCCCATTCTATAGATGAGGCAACTGAGGCCCAGAAAACAGAGCAGCTAGCCCATTATAACAACAAAACACAGCAGCACCGGGGTTTGAACCTAGGCGATGCCCCAGATTCTGGAGTTTCCTCACCACTAAACAGTACTCCCTGTTGGTCACCAGCTCCCCCCATCCACACATCTATCCATAGTGACCCTAAATATAGGCCACATGGAAAAGAGAGTTCACCAGGCCTTTGGGAACTCATATCTGGAAGGCAGGCTTGTGTTTACAAAATGCCTTCCCACGGCTTTTCTCCCCTGGTCCTTGTGGAACATGGTGGCTAGGTCTTCAAGGTCATCCTTGCCTTTCAGCAAATGCTGTGTCCTGGGCTCCGTGGGGTGTATGGTATAGAGACAAGACCATGCTTTATTCTGTCTCATGGATTAACTTCTCACAGCCCATAAGGGCAACACAAGCTTGGCACCCAGCAGAACATTCCTGGAGGAAACAGCCTTGTCAGTGTACAGGTACTCATTTAAATTCCAGACCCTGGTTTTTAAGACACACATCTGCAGTGGGCATATGTAGTGATAGATGAAAACAGAAATGGTTTTCCACTGTTTCTGTATTATTAGATGTGACCTACTATCGAAAGAGCAAAGAAAGAGTGGAAAATTAAAGGTGATTTGATATTAGCCTCCTATTCATATTAGAAAAAGTAACTGCTCTTGCGGTTTTCCTCAC